ATGCTCCTTGTAGATGTGCGCTTCTGGGGTTGATGTCTTTACGCCTCGGATTTGTATTCTACCCTGCTTTCTACCATGTATCCTACTATGTCATTCGATGTGTTTTAAATAAAATTTTCAGATGACAAAAAAAAAACTATGATATGACTTGTCAAAAAATATGACATGGCTTGTGAAAAAAAATGACACGGATTAAATTTGAACTAATTAAAATAATAAAAATCAGAAAACATTTTCTAAACAAGCGATCAGGTATTTTTTATATACTTAACAAAAAAAATGGTCATATATTTATGCATGTCCAACTAATTAGTTAGTCTACTATAACACACCATTTTCTATATACACGTTTGCAGAGTAATTATAACTATGATCCTATACTAAATTAGTTGTATATACTGCTTTTTCTCAGATTAACGTTACCATGTCGTTGGACAAAACATTGAGGAAATAGTGTGTTGTATATACTGTTTTTCTCATATTATAATAAAAAAAACATTAATTTGGCAGGAATTGACTTTTGATCATTTCAAAGGGTTCCCAACTGGGATTTTTTGGGATATCGAAAATTGCGGTGTTTCTGTGTTTGACGATTGCAAAATATATTATTCACAATTTACGGCAGCTGGTTTTGACCCGGTCAAAATTAACCGTATTTTGGTAGCTAGAGACACAATCTCTCTGCCAGCTGGCTAAAAAAACAAATCTGGGTGCTTATGCACATTTGGAGTACGTGAAGCTCTCATATCAACGTGGCAGAAAAATCAAAGATTTGGCTGATAAAACTTTGATCAAAGCCATTTTCCACTGGATGGGTGACACGTTTGTGCCCCTTAACATCTTTGTCATTTCGGGTGATGCTGATTATGTTCAGTTCTTAATGTCTTTGCACAACAGAGGTTGTTTTAATGTAATGATTGCATACATTCCAGCAAAAACATCTACCGATACTATCAACACTATTCCGACATCTTGGTAATTCAATGATTTTTGGGCCGGTTTAAAGCCCAAGAAGAACAAATTTGTAATTTAATACCACTTATTTTTTATGTTGCTTTTTACCTATTTTTTAGAACTTTTGGTTATTTTTTTATGGTTAACTATGGCCCATGAACTTATATGTACTTTTGCTATTATCATACG